AGTAGGACTTTCTGAAGTAGAAGAAACCCCACTTGAAGTATTCATATTACTAGTTACTTGATTGCTTTTAGAACTTGCTTCACATCTCACATACCAATCGTAAATATACACCATATCGTCTTTCAAAATATTTGTCATATTACGAGCAATTTCCTTATCCTCATAAATATCACCAAAACAAAAATCAGCATACTCCAATTTATATCTTGGGTAAAGTACAGTAGCAATCAACAACAATTGGTTAACATTTTTCATTTTTCCCCAATATTGCCAATTTTTTTTTTCATGTTAATGGTCATATCACTCAAAAGATAATCATCACTTTTACTCCATTCTTCCAATTCGCTTATAAGTGAACATATTTCATGAAAATAAACATTAGAGCTCACATGCAATGAAGTATTAAACTTCAATGTTACTTCATAAAAGACTCGGAGGAACTTTACAAAAACATAAGCATTTTCCCAGTCAGAAGTTCTAGGAGGTCAACCCCTTCTTTTACCACCATCATACTCCTGAAAATAATTAAAATATTGCACATCATCCTCTTCTAACCTTTCAAATGCTTTTTTTTTGGAATTTTAAAGCGGCTTCCAACATCAAATATGTGGAATTCCACCTAGTTTGTACATCCAAAAACACAAGTGATTTGTAATTAATTTTTTCTTGACTCGCACACTCCTTAAAATTTTGTTCTCTGGCAGGAGAATAATTAACATATTTTACTGCATTGCGAATACTAATAATTGATGCATGTGCTTCTTTCAATCCCTCACATACAATCAAATTAACAATATGTGCACAACACCTCATGTGCAAATATTTTCCATCCAAAATACACCAATCCCTACTACTACCAATCATCTTCCTCTTAAGATAAGAAATTGTCGTTTCATTTGCATGTGCATTGTCAACCGTGATTGTAAACACTGTCTCAATACCCCATAAACGCAAACAATTCTTAAAGCTTTACCATGGTTTCGCCTTTATGATTAACAATCACACAAAAGTTCAAAATCCGTTTATGAAACTTCCAATCAGAATCAACAAAGTGTGCAGTAAGAGACATATAGTTAATGTTTTGAATAGAACTTCAAGTATCAGTAGTAAGAGAAACTCTTTGACGTTGGATGATCTTTTTCAATTGCAATTTTTTATCCAAATACAATTAATAAATATCTCTAACAATAGTCCTACGAGAAGGAGGATCAAAATTCGGACATGTTACTTGACAAAATTTTCTAAATCCCTCACCTTTGACAAAGCTAAAAGGTAGCTCATCAATTATTATCATCTTAGCACATGCAAGTTTACATCCTCCT